TCGGCGAAGTGGTAGAAGACTTTGGCGTTGGCGCTTTCGCGAGGGTTGTCTTCGTCCATGGGGACATTGACGGAGCAAAACGGGAGAGGTCCGGCTTCTTCTGATGCATTGTACACATTATGTTCGTCCCAGTCTGCTTCGTCCGCTGCTGAGGCGAAGGCTCGGTCACCACGAAAGCCACTTGTGGGATCTTCATTTTCTTGCAAGTTGGCAAGGTACGTCTGAAGCGTGAGTCGTTCGTAGAAAATTACGTCACGTGTTGCTACTGTTTCCTTGGAGTGGACATCGAAGATTTTCCACGCTTTGTAGTTCATTTCGATGCCGAGGTGTAGTTCCCACTGTGCGCGTTGTGAAAATCGGCCCGCTCGTGCTTCTGGGGGTCGGTACTGTACCATGCACCCGAAAACTCGTAACATTTTTGTGCTGCCCTGTTTCCCTGTCCACAGCAGATGCGGTGACGCGTTGTTCGGAAGTGAAGACGACGACATCAAGTTGTGCAGCATGACAGCGTGGTCCATTGCTGCAGGCCACTGGTGGTTGGGTAGCCGCATGCCACGTAACAGTTTGTGCATGCTGTTCTACAGGGTCCTGTTCATTCTTTCTGCTTCTCCTTGCTGCTGATGGGCGTAGGGAAGGGAGATGAGCTGCTTGATTCCCCTTTACGCCAGGTACTGCTTGAATCGCTAAGAGGTGTATTCTCCTCCTCCGTCTGACTGGAAGCTTTTCAGTTGCACGCCCGATTCTCTCTCTGCTACTGGTAGCCAGGCAACGAAGGCTGCGAATGCCATGTCGCGGCTAGGTAGGTTTAGGTGCCAGACGTAACGGGTGGTGGCGTCGATGAAGGTGATCGTGTAGTTGTATGTAACTTTTCCTGGTTCCCGATTGAACAGGATATCGCTGTACACCTTCTCGAGTGGTGCGTACGCGGGTGCGCTCGGGTTGTGATGAGGAATGAACGGCTGATGTGGTAAGTCGGCTTCGGGGCAGGTAAGACAAGTTCATCGTGCTCGTTGAAGTTCTCTGCCATCGAGTAGTAGTAATGAGTCCTTGTCAAGGACTCCTGCTCTTATTGTGTTGTTTAACACAGTGTTGCTTGGGTGTCCCATGCGTGCGTGCCAGATGTCTTCAGAGGCGCGGTGTCCGGGTGAACGTCGATACGCGTCGGAGTTGGAGTAGAAGCTGGCGATGAAGTTTGCGCTTCTATGGACTTCCCGTTGAGTCGGATTCAGCTGCTGTGCGGGTGTTGGTGGTGCTTCGTCAACGAGGACTGGTGTCGTTGTTTCTGCTGCTGCCGATGTTGTCTCTGCTGCTGCCGATGTTGTTACTGCTGCTGCCGATGTTGTCTCTGCTGCTGCCGATGTTGTCACTGCTGCTGCCGATGTTGTCACTGCTGCTGCTGAATGTTGTATTGTTACTAACGCACGTGTTCGTTCTGCTTCAGGAATGGTATGGGAATACCAGAAGCCTTCCGGACTGAAGTCGGGGTCGAGATCCGGCGGGTGCATCCAAGATGTGAAGGTGACGATCCCGTCACTGTCTGCGGTGCCCAGGTCTGGGACAAAATCGAGGACGAAGACATTGTTCTTCAGGATCGCTTTTCCGATGTAGAGGGCGCCCTTCCCGTGGTACAGCTTGAACTCCTGGGTGGTACTGTCGGCTTCCAGATGTATGCCTTTCGCCATCAACTGACTGACGCTCAGTAAGTTGTAGCCAAGTCCTTCTGCTATTAGGACTTTGGACATTTGTAGTACGACATTCGTCTCTCGTGACTGAAGTTGCACTACCCCTTGTCGTCGTGTGCGCAGGTTCTGATTGTTGGCGACAGTGATGACGACTTCTCGTTGAAGTTGGTGCTCGCGTTGAACGAAACGTCCTGAAGAGCACATGTGTTGTCCGCAGCAACTGTCCAGGAACCATGTATCCTTTCCGGTCGGCTCGCTTTGGGCGATGGCGGCGTACGTCGGGTTTTGTTGAAGTGACTCGCAGCGAGGCGTACTGTTGTCGAGTTGTTCTTCTGGTGAGTAATATGGTGGTGACTCAGTTACGCAGGAGTTACTCAGCCTTGCCATGCAGCTGACGATGTTTCTTGTTTCTTTTGCAGGTTGTCCCGTTGATGTTGTTGAGACGTGGACTGAAGTTGTCGGGTTTGCTTGCGTTGAAGCCACTTGACTGCTTGAAGGGCGAAGTTGGCGTTGTCGATTTGGGCAGTGCGTACGAGGGTGCCCTGAAGTCTTGCAGAGGTGGCAGAACGGAGGTATGAATTTCGGTCGATTGTTGTTCTTGTTGTAGCGCCGTTGAGTGTGAAACGCGAATTCGGACACTGACACCTTTCTCCTTTGTCATTCTTCTTGCAGGTCCATGTCTTGCTGTTCGGCGTGGATTTCGGCGCAAAGTGCCGCTTCAGAGATTTTCCCGTGGGCTCGTAGTATGGCGCGAGTGGAGCGCCAGTGAAGACCAAGACCGCCGATGACAACCGTGACGAAGGCGTCATCTGAAATCGATCCTCCACATCGAAGAAGCTTGTTGCGCAGCTCGCGGCAGCGACTGATATACGCCATTCCCTTCTCGCCCGGTTTCATTTCGATTGTAGTTAGCTGCGCCATTAACTGACTTTGGTTTACGCTGTCTGTTGCTTGATACAGGGTCTTCAAGTGATTGTACGCGAGCTCCGCGGAGTTGCCGTAGCCTCGGTAAGACCGAATGTTTTGTTGTTGAGATGAAGTGATGTTCCTCAGCAGTATCGTGTACGCCATCATTGGTTGATAGGTGTAGTGCTGCTTCTCATACTGTGTGCCGTTTGTTGGGTATGGCAGGGACCCGTCGAAGAAGCCGAGGATTTGCGCTCCTTCCATCATCAGTTCAAATTCGAATGACAAGGTAAAGAAGTACTTCCCGTCGAAGGGTTTTGTCGTTTGCAGTTTTAGAACGTGCGCAAACTGCGACTGAACTTGTAGTGTGTCCAACGTTCTCTCTTGTCCCGGTGCAGGTTCTGGTTGTGGCATGAAGCTGACGGAGCCGCGGTGAGGCTCGTACGGAGCGAAGGTAGGTTGTTGTTGTTGATTCGCGCGTGCGTAGGATGAGCCATCAAGACTCATGGGCGTCACGTTGTTGTTGTTGTTGCTGTTGTTTGATTGCACATGTCCTCCTTGCTGATGCTGCTCGTAGAAGAACATGAAGGAGAAGAACTTCTCCATCATGCTTGGATCGAAGCCCACGCCTTGGTTTGCGGGTGTTTCAGTAGACCCAGCTGCCGGTCTCGTTGTTGTCCCTTCCTCTGTCTGTAGGCCAGAGGCAGGAGGTGGAGTAGGAGTAGTGCCAGGAGAGCCGTTGGAGGAGCTCCTCTCCTTTCTAGTAGACATGTCTCTTGGTGTATTAGGTGTTGAGGAGAAATGATTTTAACTCTAACCAGCTCTCATACCATGTTGGGCTGAGTGCCCCTTAGGATCTTTGGTAGAGTTAAAGTCTGAGTAAAGTGATGTAGTAGCGGAAGCGTTTTAAGTAAAGTCCTTGAACTACCTTGCGCTAGTATGTGAGGGCAAAGTAAGTTGATTAAAGCAAAGAAATACAAGAATATATATATGAATACAGAGAATATGAAGAGACATAATTATAACTACTTTACTGTTGCTTGTTGCGGTTCGATACAGTGCGACTCGGGCAACTGCTCAATGTCGAGTCAGTTGTGTGTCCTTGGTGTCGCGCTGCATTTGTCAGGTCAAAGGTCGCTGACCTTTGACTTTCGCGTAACCTCCAGCTGTTACATCAACCTCCGAGGGTTGACTCGCTTGTGCCTCGATATGCTTTGCTTCGCTTGTGTCTTGGTGTTTCGACTCGACAGAGGCGCTTAAGATTATTTGTTCCCAACCATTTTTACAATCTCTCAAGTTCAATTCCCACCCACCCTCCCCATGCTAGTAATCTTTAGAGAGTAGTAGTTCTTAGACATTTTGGATGTGATGGTGTATTATTATTATTATTGCTAGGAACCATTGTACTTGAGCACCATTGTAATGAGAACGATGCATATTGCTACAGAAGCAAGCTTTCTCAATCAGTTGTCTAAGTGAGTGGGGCCGGGCTTGCAAGTCAGTACATTTCAATCACACGTTCAATATGAAATGCTATCTTGATATGTGCTTGGGTTTGTTGGGAACAAATAGTCTTAAGCGCCTCTGTCGTGTCGAAACTCCAAGACACAAGCGAAGCAACGCAATCGAAGCACCAGCGAGTCAACCCTCGGAGGTTGATGTAACCGCTGGAGGTTACGCGAAAGTCAAAGGTCAGCGACCTTTTGACCTGACAAATGCAGCGCGACAGCAAGGACACACAACTGACTCGACATTGAGCAGTTGCCCGAGTCGCACTGTATCGAACCGCAAGAGTAAAGTAGTTACAATTGTGTCTCTTCATATTCTCTGTACTCATATTTTTTCTTGTATCTCTTTGCTTTAATCAACTTACTTTGCCCTCACATACTAGCGCAAGGTGGTTCAAGGACTTTATTCAAAACGCTTCCGCTACTACATCGTTTACTCAGACTTTAACTCTACCAAAGATCCTAGGGCGTTCAGCCCAACAGGGTTTAGACCCGGGGTTCTATATTTCAAGCTTAGGACCACCATGTGTAATGCTCCTCAAAGGTCAATATCATGCTCTTACGACATTTGACATTACGGTACAAAGCTAACTACAAGAGTCAGGATTATGTCAGACGAAAGGTCAGCTACTACCTGACTAAACTGTCTGGGTAGATGAATACTAATGTTCTGGAGTTGGTTATCTCCTAAACCAAACCCCAAGCTCAACACCCCCCTTTCCCCCCTTCGGAATGGCATTACCTATGCTAAACAAAGCTTTCCCAAGAAAAGGCAGCAATTCAACCTCCTCCTCCACACCCCCTAGTGTCTCCGCCAGACCAGATATCCCCATTCTCCCTTCCTGTTAAAACCCTCCTATATTCGGCTCCCTTGCAAGAACCTCAATTGCAGCAGCTGCTTTTTCTACGGAAACGCGTCATATCTGTCATATCTCGTGTTAGAGTATCTTTTCCTCCACATCCCCCCACTCCGCGCGTCCCCCCCTTGTCCCCAGTCAACCCCTTCCCCCCACCTCCTTCCGCTTTCCCCCCCCGCCCTCCCTCCCCCCCAGCTTCCCCTCAACATCCTATCCACTCTACCCTCCGCCGCTCCCCCTGCTCCTCCCGCTCCCCCCGCTTCCCCCGTCCCCCGTCCTTCCCCCGCCCTTCTCCCCACCTGCACCTCTCCCCACTCCCCCACGCTCACCTCATCTCCCCCTTCCGCCCCACCTGTTTCCGCTTCCTGCTCTGCTAAATCTCCGACCGACACCCATTGCCCTTCCCCCTCCTCCTCTTCCCCCTCCCCCTGATAATCCCCCCCCCGCACAGTTTCCTCTCTCCCCTCCTCTTCCGCCCCTCCCCGCACCTCCGCCTCTCCTCCGCTTTCCCCCGCCGCCTCCGCCCTCCACAGTGCTTCTTTCCGCAATACGTCCTCCTTTTGCTCCAAAAGCTCCCCCTCCTCGCGACATGCAAAAGGATCTTTAGGGTCGGGCAGGTAGCCCTCGTTACAAGCACACGTCACATTCCGCATCAGCCGTTGAGAAACCGAGCTTTTGGGAATGCATGTTCCCTGCCCGCCGCACTGCCCGGCGAACGAAAATGTTTTGCAGAACGCGTTGCAATTGGCGGGTTTTCGCTGAGGCTGGAGAAAGTGTAGCGGGCAGCTGAAAGAACCGGACATGCAGTTCCCCCCCACTGAAACCCGCAAGCCAGGCACGCGGTCACTTGTCGGGCAGATTGAAACGTTTCCCATCATCATTTTCAGCGGCCCGTACAAGTAGTTGTTTGACACGTCGACGAAAAACTCGGATTCGCCGTTGATATCGCCAGTTTTCGCAGGGAAATCGGGCAGCTGACCGGTGAGAAAATTATTCGCCACATTGAGCATGTAAAGGCTGGGCGAATGCGAGAACACATCGGGAATCCGTCCGTACAGTCGATTGTGACTCAAGTCCAGCGAATACAGATTCGAAGCTGTTCCTATCGCGTACGGAATCTGCCCATCTATGCGGTTGTTATTGAGGATGAGCACAGACAAAGACGGGGATGCTCCTAACGAGGGCGGGATCTTCCCGCCAATCTGGTTGTGCTGTAGAATGAGCGAAGTGATCGAACTACTGTTACCGATATCGTCTGGGATCGTGCCGGTCAAATTGTTGTAACCAAAGTCGAGCATGCGAAGATTCGGTAACGAGCCCAACCCAGCCGGGATATGCCCACTAATTCCATTCCTATCTAGAAACAGCGACTGCAGCTTCCATAAACGAGATAAAGTGGCGGGCAAGAAACCGTCGATTTCGTTGTTGCTTAGAATGAGTGACTCCATAGCGGGAAGATTGCCGATATCCCTATGCAGCCTCCCCTGAATCTGACATCCTGACAAATCGATCCGCCTGACTCGACCGCTGGATGGGTCACACGTCACGCCTTTCCACTCGCGGCAAGAGCGGGTTACGCGCCACGTGTCGGAGCCCAGGAATTCGCCCCAAGTCGCCTTGACCGCGATTAACGCGGCGACATCGTCGGGATGGGGAGGCGGGAAATCGTCTGGAGCCGTCGAGACTAGGCTGAAGGGAAGGAGGAGAAAGATGGAGAGAGAAGCGATGGCTAGGGACGAAGGGTGGAGTAGCAGACACCGACGGAGTGACGAGAATCGACGAAGTGACTTGATGGTGGAAAGTATGCGCAATGGTGACGACGTTGGCGCCATCGCGGAAACCGTGAGAAGGCTGTGCAGACCACAGTGCGAATTTTATTGCGTTCAGGGCTTCCTGAGTCAATCAGCAGCTAGGAGGAGTTTATGACGGCAGCGTCTCAAAGAGGCGGCTAAGAAAACGGCCTGTTGATTATCGTCCGTATGTTGAAAACATGCGAAAGGATAGTAGTACTCTTGCAACGTACTAACACGGAAAGCTGCCTCAAGTTTCTCTAAGCTGTGTTCTCAGGAATGTTGATGATTGAAAATGAAAGGGAGAGAGAAACTTGAATGAGCAAGAGGAGGGGGAAGGAGGAAAGGGAAGATGGAGTAGCAGACATGTGTTGTATTTCGCGAGATCGACGGCGGTGGTTGAAGCACTGGACTCGCGCCGATGGCGGCAAGCTTCTGGCACGGCGCGGTAAAAAATTGAACGGCCAAGCTCGCTGACTGCCCTGACTCGCTGTTGCGACTCGCATTATGTCGGTGTAGGGTAGTGCGTTTTACAATACAAGATGGTATATGGGTGCTTAATGAGTGGTCAGGATACAGTGTGGATAGAACAAACGAGATAAATCGGCAACAGTTTGTCACGAAAAGTCTGTGCCTACTGTCCGAGAATGGCGAAAGTGCAGCTTCACGTTACAAGAATTCCGCGTGACGAAACCAACCGCCACAACACCCACGCTCCCGCCACGCGCTTTCCTTTCCCCACGCCACCTCCGCCCATCTCAGTTCCGCATAGTCCCCCGCCAACAGCCCCTCCCCCCTCCCTCCCGCTGAGCCAGGCTTCCCCCCTTCCCCGAGCTCCATTCCCGGTGCCCCTTGCACAGGTTGAACTGTTCTCCCCATCGCCGCAACATACCTGTGTGCGCCTGTACCCCCGGTCCCCCCCCCCACCCCACCCACCGTTCCCCAGGTCTTCCCCCAGTGCTTCTAGTCCCTCCCACCCACACGCGTTGCTTCCTCTCCCCGCCTTCCCCTGCTTTCCCTTCTTCCGAGGCTACTCCGTCCCTAGGTGTTTCCGCTTCAACAAACTTCACTCACTGGTGATATTTTCGTTTTCCCTGTTACCTTGTCCTCCCCCACCACACGTTAGTTAGGTTTTCTTTCCCTGTCCTTGCCGTGGACAGATCTAAACTGTTTACTTCATCTGCCGGCGTTCTACATATAGTTACCGATGCGGGTTCGCCTCCATGGATTTCACAATTGTGTGCTGCAAGCGTCCCTATTTTTCGTGATCTAGACTGAACTTTAGGCTGGATTATCGGCCCTGAGTAGGAATTACTGAACATAGCAGTTCCTTCCGTAAATATAGCTTAATAGGGTTATTTTACCCCTATTTAGGGTTGCGTGAAGCTGGGGGAGCCAATGGCTGTCGTGTCGGACGAGCCGATAGAAGTGAAGTTTCGGTTAGCGGACGGATCGGACATCGGTCCGAACAAGTTCGAGCAGGAGGCTACGGTCTTGTCGTTGAAGGAAAAGATACTTGCTCAATGGCCTGGAGGTACTATCTCGGCTATGGATTTCTTACTTTGTTAATCTATGTTTTTTTTGTGTTTGTAGTATGGTTTCTCTCTTTGCTGTGCTCTTCCGGCAGCCGTCTCTGCGTTTTCGGTAAGTCTTCACGCGTTGTTCACATGCCTTCATTCCACATGCCGTAATCAATGTCTTTTTTTCCCTTCCTGGCACCATTATGCCCGTTCTGCAAAGCATCGTAATTCATGCATTGCTATCGTTATTCACGCCTTGCTATTCTCGCTACCGTGCGACGGCGTTACCATCCATTTCTGATCAGACTCTACACTTCCGTTCGAAATAAGTTACTGACTCTCCTTTGTCCCCATCACCCGCCACTTCACTGTATGAGCTACCTTAACTCACGACCTGCGGTCGTTCGCATGCTGTTGCACACTATCTTACGTTGCGCTTGTCTGTCTCGTGCCACCATGATCGCATATTATCCGTACAGATAACTTCCACATTCCTGAAAGAGAGAAATTGAAAGCATTTTTAGAAAGTATCGATAGTTTAGTTTCTCGCATGTGCTCCCAATTTCTTTGCTCTGCAGAGGGGGGTCCAAAATCGGTGAACGAGATTACTCTTATCAACGCCGGGAGATTGTTGGAGAACACTAAGACGCTGTCGGAGTCTCGTGTTCCCGTGAGCGAGATCGTAGGCACTCCGATCACAATGCACGTCGTCGTTCACCCAGCACAAGCAGACAAAACCACAGGTACCCGTTCTCTCTTCTACCTCTTTCTCTCTCTCTCTCTCTCTCTCTCTCTCTCTCTCTCTCTCTCTCTCTCTCTCTCTCTCTCTCTCTCTCTCTCGACTCTCCCTCTCCCTCTCCGTCTCCCTCTCCCTCTTCCTCTCCCTCTCCCTCTCCCTCTTTCACTCCCTCTCTCTCTCCCTCTCCCTCTTTCACTCCCTCTCTCTCTCCCTCTCCCACTCCCTCTCCCTCTTCCTCTTCCTCACCCTCTCCCGGTCTCGCTCCCACTCCCTCTTCCTCTCCCTCTCCCCCTCCCCTACCCTTCCCCCTCTCCCTCCACCTCCACCTCCTCCTCCACCTCCCCCCTCCCTCTCTCTCTCCTCTCTCTCTCTCTCTCTCTCTCTCTCTCTCTCTCTCTCTCTCTCTCTCTCTCTCTCTCCCTCTCTCTCTCCCTCTCTCTCTCTCTCTCTCTCTCTCTCCCTCTTTCTCTCTCTGAATCTTATTTACTCCTTGCCTCTACGTTTTGTCTCCCCCCTTCCACCCATGCACCCCTTTCTGGGTCGGAAATCCTTGTTTTCTTTCCTTTGCGCTCGCTCTATCTCACCGTTCTTAGTCTGCATGCCTTCCCGGTGATGCTTGCGTGCCTGCGAGGTTTCCTGCGTCGTTTTGGCACCTCTACTTTCATCTGACCGCCTCCTCCTGTTTGTTCTGTCCGTCTCTCCTCCTGCCATCCCCCCTTCTTTCTTCCTTCTGTGCCTCCTTCCCCCGATTCCTCTCCGCTCTCCGCTCTCCGCTCTCCGTCTCTCTCTCTCTCTCTCTCTCTCTCTCTCTCTCTCTCTCTCTCTCTCTCTCTCTCTCTCTCTCTCTCTCTCTCTCTCTCTCTCCCCTCCCTCCCTCCCTCCCTCCCTCCCTCCCTCCCTCCCTCCCTCCCTCCCCCCCCCCTCCTCCCTCCCTCCCTCCCTCCCTCCCCCCCCCCTCCTCCCTCCCTCCCTCCCTCCATCCCTCCCTCCCTCCCTCCATCCCTCTCTCTCTCTCTCTCTCTCTCTCTCTCTCTCTCTCTCTCTCTCTCTCTCTCTCTCTCTCTCTCTCTCTCTCTCTCTCTCTCTCTCCCTCCCTCCCTCCCTCCCTCCTCCGCTCTCGGTTCCTTGCACTTGTGTTCCCCCCATCACCCCTGTTTTCCACCTCTGGCACTCCCCCTCTCTTCACCCCCCATATATGTTCTATCTGCAGCAACACAACAACCAGCTGATGCAGCGTCAGGCAGATGTGGTTGCACCATTCTTTGATCCCGCCTTCCTCCATCATTCCGCAAGGTCCTCCCAACTACTGGTCGAAGCCACAACTCAGTTATGAGATGCCCCATGTAGATGCCTACTTTTGCTTTATTAGACCAATGTATGAGGAACTGCTGTCCTCCTGTATGAAATGTTTTTTCTTTTCTTGTAGCCAACACATCGTGTTTTGAGATGTCCAAGATGCTGAAATGGGGAATGCTATTTATGTGCTCCACTGTTCTCCGTCTAGGAACTAGTACGGAACATGTCGTGATCTTAGCCTAACATCACCTCAATCAGCTTGATCATTTCAAGCAAGCTGGAAAAGACTACCACCATCTAGAACTAGATCAGGTGCTTCAACCGTGAGGCCATTGTGTAAGTGGTTGAAAAAAATGAGCAATGTTATATGCCGCCCAAGGTAGCAAGAGTTTTTGCATAAACCAAATTTGAAGTTAAAAAACAGCATAGATCAACCCATCAGCTTCATAATAAAAGAAACTTACATTCAAAGTGTTAACACTACCATGTTGAGAAAACAGGCGCATGCCAGAGCAAACCAGGCGAAGGTCTATACAGGGCAGAATTGAGTTTAACCGCCAAACCCATAGAGCGTGCGGCCTTGGCGTTTCAGAGCATAGACGACATCCATGGCGGTGACGGTCTTCCGGCGAGCGTGCTCAGTGTAAGTCACAGCGTCTCTGATAACGTTCTCAAGAAAGACCTTAAGCACGCCCCGAGTTTCTTCATAAATCAGGCCACTGATACGCTTGACTCCGCCACGCCTTGCGAGACGACGGATAGCCGGCTTGGTGATGCCCTGGATATTATCGCGAAGCACCTTTCTGTGTCGCTTGGCTCCGCCCTTTCCAAGACCCTTGCCACCCTTTCCACGGCCTGACATAGTGTGACAAGAGGAACTATAAACGGAAGGAAATGCCTACAGACAGAAGATAATAGCTGTGCGTTGGTGATGCTCAAATAACCAGGTTGAT